CCCACAGCCCCATGGGCCTGTGGCCTATTGTCTGACCTGATTCGCCAGCTTCCGCAGCCTTGTGAGCCTGCAGCCTGTGGTCTGAACTGCTGGTTTGAGTTCGTCAGTGCCTGCAGCCACGTGCGTCAGGAGAAGCCTCTGCCTGATCCACGAATTTGGGATTTGCCAGCCTCCACAACTGCGTGAGATGGGAGGGAAAGTACTGAGAGGAGAGGGAGTGGTTGATGTTAGAGATGATGGAGTGGTTCAGCAGTTTGGAATAGTTTGACATTTGGGACATCTTCAGCCTCCGCCTCACAGGAACCAGCTTTGTGCTGATCCTTATAAAAGAAATTATTTGTTTACTTAGTAATAGACTGATTTATCAAGCTTCTGGGTAATAGAAATTGAAGTTGAGAAGGATAGTAAGGAGAAAGGGAAAAGGGAAGGTATTGGAAATTTTGTAGTATGCTTGGTCTCAACTCTGTGATATTATTTTATGTTATAATTACTGTGTGTATTATGGGGCCTGTTATGTCGTTGTTGTTGTTAGGTGCCATTGAGTTGATTCTGACTCATAGCGACCCTATGTACAACAGAATGAAAACATTACCTGGTCCTACTCCATCCTCATAATCATTGTTATGCCTAATTAAGCCCAAATGATGCAGCCACTGTGTCAATTTTTCACTGATCTTCTACCAAGCATAATGTCCTTCTCCAGGGACTGATCCTTCCTGATAACATGTCCAAAGTATGTGAGGCGTAGTCTCGCCATCCTTACTTCTAAGAAGCATTCTGATAGTACTTCTTCCAAGACAATTTTTTTCGTTCTTTTGGCAGTCCACGATATATTCAATATTCTTCTCCAACACCACAATTCAAAGGCATCAGTTCTTCTTTGATCTTCCTTATTCGTTGTCCGGCTTTCACATGCATATGAGGTGATTGAAAACACCATGGCCTGGGTCAGGCACACCTTAGTCTTCAAGGTGACATCTTTGCTTTTCAACACTTTAAAGACGTCTTTTGCAGCAGATTTGCCCAATGCAATGCGTCTTTTGATTTCTTGACTCCTGCTTCCATGGGTGTTGATTGTGGATCCAAGTAAAATGAAATCCTTGACAACTTCAATCCTCCATTTAGCACAGAGTCCAGTTGTGAGGATTTTTGTTTATTTTATATTTACTGTTTCTGTGTCATCTTAGCTATTTTTAAAATTTTTTTAATTTTAGAATTTAGGAAAACGTACTTTTGTTCTGGTGGTTACCTTTGTATTTGCACCTTTAGTAGTGTCCTTACTCCTCTTTTTTCTTTACCTGTCTAGTCTATTTAAAATAGTATCATTTTCTCTTCCTGTTACTTATATAATAGTCATTGATCTTATTAAGGCTTCTTTCTTTCTCTCTCCCTTATTTTCCCTTTTTGTGTTATTTCTACTATGTAAGAATATGTAACATTTATGTGTTTTTCTTCCATTCATCCCCTGACCCTTCTACAACTAAATATATTAAATGTTTACCATCAGTCCTTTTGTCAAACTTTTCCCAAGTATTCCTTGGTTGGATGAAGCTTGTTGTTGTTAGGTGTTGGCGAGTAGAACTGTCCCATAAGGTGTTCTAGGCTGTAATCTTTACAGGAGCAGATCACTATGTCTTTCTTCCTGGAGCCGCTGGGTGGTTTGAACCACTAACCTTTTGGTTAGCAGCCGAGCATTTAACTGTTGCACTGCTAGGGCTCCTTGGATAGCTTATCCACTAGTAAATTTCTCAGGAAGAGAATGCTTGTATATTATTCCTTGAGTTCTTGTACTCAAAACTTTTTTTTCCTGTAGCCATGATGCTTGAAGAACAGCTTGGCTGGATATAAAATCCTTGATGTGAACTTTCTTTCCTTATCTTTATTGAAAATGATGCTTTGTGTGTTAATAAGTTTGATGTCAACCTAATTTTCATATAAGTAATTTGATCTTTTTCCTAGGGGTCTGGAGCTTTTTTTTCCTTCAGAGTCTAACAGTTTCACTAGAGCATTTGAGTTGGTTGTTCCAGGTCAGTTTTCTTAGAGTCACAGTAGGCCCTTTCAATATGTAGATTTAGGTTTTCCTTATTTTTGGAACACTTTCTTGGATTAGAGCTTAAATTATTAACCTTATTCCATTGTTTTTTCTTTTTGGGGACTCTAATTATATGTTACTGAATCTTCTTTGCCTGGATGCCATTTCAACGACTTTCTTTCTGACCTTTTTTACTTCCTTATCTCATTTTTATTCGTTTTCCTGCCTTTCTTCAATATCCTTATTAAATTTTCATTGGAATCTAGTCTTCTTTGAGCATCTTATAATTAATTCTTTATTTCCGAGATGGCTTTTTCTTTAATGTCATACCTGCATTCAATTTCTCATTGCATTTCTACTATTTTGGGGGTGGGGGGTTCATAGTTTTAAAACATCTGATTCTAGGTGTTTTTCATATCTCCAAATGCTTCTTTGAGGATATTTAATTCAGTTTGGAGTGTTTTGCTAGTTTTCTTCTGCTCCCTTTGAACTCCAGTCACCTTGGCTTCCCTGGATTCCCAGCTCCATTGCCTCAACTCATAGAGACTACCAAGCATCTCTTTGTGCAAGCAGATGGATTTTTTTTTCTAGGTTACCTTTACAGAGGGTATCATTTGTTGGGGCTCTAGATTTAGATACGGGCCTAATTTCCAACTATCATCCTGGAGTCACCCAGGCCGTGTCTACTGTATCCATGGAGGCCATAAAAAGGCTAAGGCCCGCAGAGCTGTCATAGCATCAGTTCTCAAGCTTGAAGCTCTACTTTGGTTTTCGTTTCCTTTTCATTTTTAGCCCCCAGTTACTCCTTTTTTTTCTTGGTGCTTAACCATGAGTTTTCCTACTAACATCCTCAGTCCCAGGTTCCACCACAGATGAAGGCTTAGTGTTAGAGAGGCTATTAGAGCTGCCCACAACCCCTTCCTGGGGCCAATGCTGCCATCACACACAAATATTAGATATGTGGGCCTCTCAACGTTGAACTTCGCTATGGAGCCCTCTAGCAGCTTAGGAAGGGAAAACAGTTTTAATTTACCCAGTATATTTTGTGAATTACATGCAAGCAGAAACACACTGCATAGTAGTGTTTCACATGTTATACTGCCTGCAAATGACAAAGTGCTTTCACAACACTGCCTTCCTTCCCATCTTCCCTCCTCCCCACCTTTGTCTCTTTATTCTCCTTTCTTCCTTCCCAAACATGTCTTGAGCACTGTTATGGATTGAATTGTGTCCCCCCAAAATATGTGTTGTAAATCCGAACAAGTGGTTCTGTACTCAAGAATTTTAGTAATATAACACGAGAGACAGAATATAAGCAGATGAAATAAGTGAAACAAATCACAAAACAAACATTAAACCAAATGCAAAAGTAATGTCACATTCCACAAGAAAATGCAGCAAGGGTAGATCAGAGATTAACTAAGGAACCCCCTTGAAGGGGGTGATACTTGAGTTGGGCCAGGAGGGAATGAGAGTGGATTAGAAAAAAAGGCTCTTTGAGGTGGAAGTTCAGAACTGAAAAGCAGGATTTTAGAGGTGGTAGGGCGCATAGAGATGAGCCTGCCCAGTGCCTTTCAAACTTTCCAGTGAAACTCTTTAAACAGAATGTTATTGCTCAACGTGTGTAGGACTGTGTGATGGATTGAACTGTATCTCCCCAAAATATATGTTCAAATCCTAACACCTGTACCTTTAAATAGGACCCTGTTTGGAAATAGGGGTTGTTTTGTTATGTAAATGAGACTGTACCAAAGTAGGGTGGATCCTAAACCAAATCACTTCTGAGGTATAAAAAGAGCAGAAAATACACAGAGATACACACAGGGGGAGAAGGAGGACAGATGCCTCTACAAGACCCTGACTGCCAAGGATTGCTGGCAGTTACTAGAAGCTGAAATAGGAAGGACCTCCCCTTACAGCCATGCCCTGAATTCAGGCTTCTAGCATACTTAACTGTGAGAAAATAAATTTCTGTTCTTTAAAGCTACCCATTTGTGGTATTTCTGTTATCTCAGCACAAGGTAACAAAGACAGACTGCAACTGGATGAGCTTAGCTATAGACCTGGGCTTAGATAGCAAAGAAGAGGTGAGACTGGAGGTATATCAGGTAGAGTAGAAACAGTACTCATGAGCTCACTTTTCATGGATTACATTCATTCATCATGTGTATCTGAATATGGCACCTGTCATGGATTGAATTATGTCCCTGCAAAATATGTCAACTTGCCTAGGCCATGATTCCCAGTATTGTGTGGTTGTCCTCCATTTTGTGATCTGATGTGATTATCCTATGTGTTATGAATCCTAGCCTCTATGCCTATGGTTATGATCCTATTTTGGAGTGAGCTGTCTGTTATGCTAATGAGGCAGGACACAATCTACAGGATTAGGTTGTATCTTGAGTCAATTTCTTTTGAGATATAAAACAGAGAAATGAGCAGAAAAGGAAAGAGACCTCCTATCACCAAGAAAGAAGAGCTGGGAGCAGAGCATGTCCTTTGGACCTGGGGTCCCTGCACTGAGAAACTCCTAGACCCAGGGGAAGATAGATGACAAGGACCTTCCCCAGAGCCAACAGAGAAAGCCTTCCCCTAGGGCTGGCATCCTGACTTTGGACTTCTAGCCTCCTAAACTGTGAGAAAATAAATTTCTATTTGTTAAAGCCATCCACTTGTGGTATTTCTGTTATAGTAGCACTAGATAACTGAGACAGCACCACATTGGCCACCTTCTGATCGTAACTATAGCCTCTGCACAGACAAGATCATTTTCCAGAATGAATCCTCTCATGTTCACTTACACATTTAAGATTGAGTCATCTGCACTGTTTATTTTGCTTTGCTAGTAATATTTAGACTTTCTTATTTACTTTCATTATGCCATAGATTACCTATACAACAAAGGAACAAAGTCTTGTCCATACAACAAAAGAGGGAAAAATGGCTGAATCTTCCTACATTTATCACATTAAAAATGTCTTTCTTGGAAAATCTCTTTGATAATGAATAAAGTATCTTTCAGATTCATCACTTAAGGGAAGCTTCTCTTCAACATGAGTTCGCTGGTGTAGTATAACCCGTGAGCTCTGACTGAAGGCTTTCCCACACACAGAACAATGATAAGATTTTTCATCAGTCTTGGTTACCTGGTGTTGAATAAGGGTTGAACCCCAAATGAAGGCTTTACCACGTTCATGACATTTATAGGGTTTCTCCCCAGCATGAGTTTCCTGATGTTCAGTGGGCTGTGAGGTGGGCCTGAAAGTTTCTCCACATTCATTACATGCAAAGGATTTCTCCCCAGTGTGAATGTTCCAGCACAGAACAAGGTTTGTGCTGTGGCTAAAGGCTCTTCCATGTTCATCGCACACAAGGAATCTCTCTCCAGTGTGGGTTGGTCCACATGGTACAAAGCTGGAGCCATGAACAAAGACTAGGCCACGTTTTCTGCAGTCATGAGGCTTCCCTCCAGTGTGGATTCTCTGATGCTGAGTGAGGGTTGACCTCCGACTGAAGGCTTTCCCACAGTCATGACACTCATAGGGTTTCTCTCCAGTGTGAACCCTCTGGTGTAGGGCAAGTTGTGAGCTCTGACTGAAGGCTTTCCCACAGTCAATGCACTGATAGGGTTTCTCTCCAGTGTGAACCCTTCGATGCTGGCCAAGGGTTGAACTCCGACTAAAGGCTTTGCCACACTCATTACAAACATAGGGTTTTTCTCCAGTGTGAATCCTTAGGTGTTCAGTAAGATGAGAGTTAAAACCAAAGGCTCTGCCACATTCATTACATACGTAGGGTTTCTCTCCTGTGTGAATCCTATGATGGAGAAAAAGGCTTGAGCTTTGACTGAAGGCCTTCCCACACTGATTGCATTTATGGGGTTTCTCTCCAGTGTGGATTCTCTGATGTTGAATAAGGCTTGAACTTCGGCTGAAGGCCTTCCCACATTGAGTACACTGATGAGGCCTCTCTCCAGTGTGAATTCTCTGATGCTGCATTAACTGTGGGCTCTGGCTGAAGGCTCTTCCACACTCATTACATTTGTAAGGTTTTTCTCCTGTGTGAATGACACGATGTTGAATAAGAGTTGAACTTCGACTGAAAGCCTTCCCACACTCGGTACACTCAAAAGGTTTTTCTCCAGTATGAATTCTCTGGTGAAGAAGGAGGTGGGTATTGAGCCCAAAAGTTTTCCCACATTCATTACATTTAAATGGTTTATTTCCACTGTGAACTCGACGATGCAGAATAAGGTTTGAGCTGTGACTAAAGGCTCGCCCGCACTGACCACATTCATAAGGTTTTTCCCCAGTGTGACTTCTCTGATGTCTACTTAGGTCTGAATTATACTTGAAGGTTTTGCTGCACACATCACATTTAAAGACTCTCTCCCCTGTTTTATTTCTTTGAGGTCTGACAGCACTTTGTTTCAGGTTCAAATATGTATCGAATGTACTATGTTCCTGGGTTCGTTCTCCTGGAGATCTCTTCCCACACATGACAGCTATTTCTCTAACTTTCTTGTGAAGATGAGGTTTCTGCCCAGCAGAACTTCCCAGATGCCCTTCTAGTTTACCCACACACCAAACTTCCTGTATCTTGGATGCCTGTGGACTACCCCTTGAGAATCTACTTGATCTCAATTCTGTAGTTTTTACTTCTTCAGAACATTTCTGGTTTAGAACGGATAGTTCCTTCTCAGTCCCAATCTCAGAATCTGTTAAATAAAAACATAAGTGAATTACTAGAAAATGTTCTATCAGAAATAATATCCATATGTGTTAAAAGCTCCTATGAATCATTATGTAAAAGCTAGATGCTCCAATAGAAAAATGGGTCACAGGTAGAATTCAGAATTACAGATGGCCAATCAACAAAATAAAAATACTCAAGCTCATTAGTAATCAAAGAAGTAAAATTAGAATAAATTATGATTTTTCCCCTATCAAATTGACAAATTTATACATTAAACAGACATTTTAAAGGCCAGGCTCTGTGCTAGGTCAGAAATATAACATTTAGGAGATGAATACAGTCTCTGGCCTCATGAAGCTTACATTTTATTCAGATAGATATTTATTTTAAGCAAGTTAATTTTTTTAAAAGCACAATAAATCATGTGAATGGAAATTATACAGAAATATGTGAAACTACATCATGGGATTCCAACATATCTATGGGGCCAGAGAAGGCCTCCGGGAGGAAGTGAAGTTTAAGCTAAAACCTTAGGATGAAATAAGTTAACAACAGCAGACAGCAGACACGAAGGACTGGATGCGTAAAAGAATTAGTCAAGTTCAAGAATGAAGAGAATTCCAGTGCACCCCAGCTAATGCAAGAAGTGCAAAGAAGAGAATGGAGAGAGGTGGTGGGGGCGGGGGGAGGGACAGATCATGGAATGCATTACAAAATGGTCAAGAACTTTAGACTGTATTCTAATACTTAAAAAATAATATCCAATGTTGATGAGAATCTGAAGAAAATCACAGTCATATAATGTTGGTGGAATTATTAATAAATAATGAGTTTTTAAAGAGAAGGTTAGTAATATGTACCAAAAGAATTGGTATTTTACATGCCCTTTGTCCCCAAAATTATTCTTCTAGGAATTTCTCCAAAGGGGATAGTCATATGCACAAAGAAATTACTACTGCAACAGTCACTGAGAACTCTTTTAATCAGAAATGGGTCTCTATAATTGTGAGAAAACAAAAAACACCCAGGTGTCCAAAAACAGAGGATTATTTAAACCAATTATAGACTCCTCATGTAATGGAATACCATTCTGCCATTAAAATTATATAATAGAAATTATATATAAAAATTATATAAGAATATATACATAATTACATATTAAAATTATATACAAAATTATATAATAGAAGAATCTATAATAAATTAAATATAAAAAATACCACTCTTAGAGAACTAGGAACAGAAGGAAACTCCCTTAAAATAATATGGGGTTAGTAGCTACAAAAATACCTTGTTATAGGTTGATTTGTATCCTAAAACAAACAAACAAACAAACATATTTAAGACCCAACCCTATCACCTCTTAATGTGACCTTATTTGGAAATAGCATCTTTGCAGATGTAATCAGTTAAGTTAGCATGAGGTCATACTGGAGTAAGTTGAGCCCTAATACAATATGACTGGTGTCCTTATAAGAAGAGAAGTGACACAGAGACACACAGACACAGAAGACAGATGGTCACGTGACAAAGGAGGTAGAGATGAAAGTTATGCTGCCACAAGCCAAGGACCTCCTAAAGCTACCAGAAGCAGGAAGAGGTGGCAAGGAAGGACCCTACCCTAGAGGGCTTGGAGAGTACACAGCCCGGCCAACACCTTGATTTGGTACTTCTAGCCTCCAGAACAACATTTCTGTTGTTTTAAGCCATCCAGTTTGTGGTTCTTTGTTACAGCAGCCACAGGAAACTAATATATACCTACAAGAAACATTACACTCCATGGTGAATGTGGAAAGCTTCCTTTTGAGGTTGGGTTTGCCTGCCATCACTGCTTCTAGTCAATGTTGGACTCAGTGTCCTAGCCAGAGCAGTAAGACAACAGAAAGAAATAAAATGTATAAGAATTAAAAAGGATGAGACAAAATCATCACAGAAAATAAAAAATAATCTACAGGTAAATTATTAGAATGAATAAGAGTTTTATCAAGGTTGCTTAATACAAAGTCAAAATATTAATTACATTTCTATATACAAACAGAAACAGATAGCTACAAAATTACAATTATGAAATATCTTTTACATCAAACCCAGGAAACTACCCAAATACCCATCAACAGTAGAGTAGATAAATAAATTGTGGCATAGCTATACAATGGAATATCATCCAGCAATGAGAATGAATGGACTACAACGACACACAATGTGGATGAATCTCACAAACATAATTTTGAGTGAAAGAAGCCATATAAATGGAATAATACAACTTACAGCAAAGTGCATAAGTTGTATTATTCCATTTATATAAAGCTCAAAACTAGGAAAAATTCATTGGTTACCTTTAGGGGCAATAGTGATTGGAGGGGTACAATGGGGGCTTCTGTATAGCTGATAATGTTCTGTTTCTTAATCTGAGCACTGGTTACATGGCTGGGTTTAATTTGTGATAGTTCAGGAAGCACACAATAATTTGTGTGCTTTTTATGTATGTATGTTATATTTCAATAAAAAGCATTTTTAAAGAAAAATAAATATAATGCCCTGGCTATCACATAAAGGAGAAATAAAGGTAATTTACAAAATACCCAGGAATAAATCTAATCAAAGAAATAAAAGACTTCCTCGCAGAAAATATAATACAGTGAAACCCGTGAGAGCTGGAAGTGAAACCCGTGAGAGCTGGAACTCGACGAACTGCCTTGTTTTTCTGGGTCATTGTCTTAGTTATCTAGTGCTGCTATAACAGAAACACCACATGTAGATGGTTTTAACAAAGAGAAGTTTATTTCCTCACAGTCAAAGTAGGCTCAAAGTCCAAATTCAGGGTGTCAACTCCCGGGGAAGGCTTTCTCTCTCTCTTGGCCTTCTCATCAGTGTTCCCCCGGACTAGGAGCTTCTCGGCACAGGGACCCTGGTTCAAAGGAAGCGCTCTGCTCCTGGCACTGCTTTCTTGATGGTATGAGGTCCCCAACTCTCTGCTTGCTTCCCGTTTCTTTTATCTCTTGAGAGATAGAAGGTGGCACAGGCCACACCCCAGGGAAACTCCCTTTACATTGGATCAGGGATGTGACCTGGGTAAGGGTGTTGCTACCCGCCCTAATCCTCTTTAACATAAAATTACAATCACAAAATGGAGGCTAACCACACAATTCTGGGAATCATGGCCCAGCCAAATTGATACACACATTTTTTGGGGAACATAATTCAATCCATGACAGTCTTGCAAGTTTCCTGCCTTTGGCAGGGTGCAGTCTTACTTTTCTATTGCTTGTTTTAGTGGAAAATATTTGAGTTTTCCTTCTCTGACAGGTTTCCACCTTACAAAGGTTCTGGCTTTCGCAGGTTTTACTGTACATTATTCAGTAAAATTAAAGAAGACCTAAGTAAATGATGAGCTATAACATGATCATGGATTGGAATATTCAGATTGTAAAGACGGCCATTTCTGTCCAAATTGATTTACTGCAACTGTAATAAAAATCCCAACCATTTTTTTTTTCAAGCCGATTCTAAAATCAATATGGAAATGCTAAGGGTCAAGAATAGGCGAGACACCACTCAAGACAAGCAACAAGGTGGGAAGACTTGCTCTGCTGGATATCAAGACTTATATAGCTGCTGTACTGCTGACAGTGATCAAAGAGAGCCAAATAGACAATGAAGAGAAAACAATACATGTATGTACATGCGGGTTTGTGGGCACGCACGCACGTAGGTATGTATGTGCTTGAGAAGGAACGTGTATATTCTCACTTTAGAGAGAAGGGGTCTTCTGCTCCCCTCCCCATGACAGGGTGTACAGGAGTGAAGGCACTGGGGTTCTTTCTCTACAAGTTCGGTCACCGGGGAGGAGCAGTAGTGGTGGGTACTGGGCAGCCATTGGGCCACTTTTCTTGTTCGAGAGGGCAACTTAGAGTAGTTACAAATGTGGACTCTGAAACTGTACTGCCTGAGTTCATGGCTGCTGCACCCAGGGGGAGCCAAGGCAAATACTTAACCACTTTAAGCCTCACTTTTCTCTTCTGAAAATAGGTGGTAATAGTTTTCTTTTAAAATGTTATGTAAATATATTTGAAAACTTTGATATTAAACAATAATACATATAAGAAGTTGAGATATCAGGAAAGTAAAAAGACAACCTACAGAATGGGAGAATATATTGGCAAATCATATATCTGATAAGGATATAGTATCCAGAATATAAACTCTCACAACTCAACGACAGAAAGGCAAACAGCCATTTAAAAAAGTGGGCAAAGGACCTGAATAGACATTTCTCCAAAGAAGATATAAAAATGGCCAACAAGCACATGAAAAATGATACTCAACATCATTAGTCAGCAGGAAAATGCAAATCCAAACCACTATGAGATACCACTTCACACTCCCTAGGATGATAATAATAATAGTAAGAGAAAATAATGTGGTAGTGAAGATATGGAGACATCAAAACTCTCCTACATTGCTGGTGGGAATATAAAATGGTTCAGTTCCAGTGGAAAACATTTTGGCAGTTCTTCAAAAAGTTAAACAGAATTACTCTATGATCCAGCACTTCCACTCCTAGATACATACCTTAAAGAATTGAAAACAGAGACAAACAAGTATATATACACACACGTTCATAGCACCACTATTCACAATCGCCAAAAGGTGGAAACAACTCAAATGTCCATCTACAGATGAACAGATAAACAAATTGTGGTGTATGTATACAATGGAATATTATCCAGCCATAAAAAGAAGTATTGAAACATGCTACAATGTGGATAAACCTCATAAACATTATGCTAAGTGAAAGAAGCCAGCCACAAAAGGCCACGTATTATATGATTCCATTTATATGAAATGTCCAGAATAGGAAAACCCCTAGAGACAGAAAGCAGATTGGTGGTTGCTAGAGGCTGGAGGGAGTAACTGCTTAATGGGTAAGGGGTTTCCTTGTGGGGTGATAAAAATATTCTGGAACTAGACAGAGGTGATGGTTGCACAACACATGAATGTACTAAATGCCACAGAATTGTT